CTCTCCAAAAACCTAACTTATCATTCTCAACACGATCACCTATGGCTATTTGTTACTTTATAAAACGTGTAATTTGATCCCCACTCTATGAGAGGTAGATAGGAAAGACGTCATTAGAAACGAAGGCTCAGAGAAAATCACTCCAAGCAAACGAGTGGTAACTGGGAAGCCCAATCCGGGTCTTCTCGCTCCTGGTCCAAAACACCTGGTACCCCATACTGAGGAGTTTCGCTGACACAGAAAAGACAGAACCTGGAGCTTTGAAAGCCGGGTTTTAAGGCAATAGACTCATGGACCCTAGAGATTTTGGTTATCCGCTAGCTTTTTGTGTTGTCGCTGTTGCCTCTGGCTGTAGTGTTTGCCGCCTCCAACTGTTTTGTCTAGGTCGCCAGCCCTTGTATCTGCCACCTCCAGCTGTGATCCGAAGTTCCCAGCTGTTATGCCACCTCCTACAGCCAAGCCACTTTGTTCTCAGGGGTGGCCAGACTCAGAAACAGATAAACAATCAGCACACTCCACCCCCAAGCTGGCCAGGCCTCTGGGGCAAGGAAGCCAGCCAAAGTTCTGGAAGTGATTTGTTGCTGCCCTACCAAAAAAAAAAATGCATCCTGTTTCCTCTAGAGGGTGCACTTTCTCCAAAACAGTCCCAGTCATGCACTGGGGTTGGCATTCTAAAAAGCAGCCTGAATAGAGAGCCAGGACCCTGCTACCTACCACCGGTCTTCTCTGAGGAGTGAGCTAATTCTTTCCTAAAGTAAAAGCCCTAAGGACAGTGATGTTCATTCCTCCCCAAACACCATGCCTACACTGTCAGCTGCCCGTAGAGCTGGATTTCCTAACCTACAAGCACTTTTATGCCAACCACTTTTATGCTTCAGAATGAATGGATTTATCAATGCCTTTCTCAAGTACTTGATTGCTCACGAGACAAGACGTAGTTCTTGTGACTAAAATTGGCCAAGGTCCCCCATTGTTTTTAGAAAAAACTGCAACCCTTTGGCATGGCATTCAAGATCCTCCGTGAGTTAGTCTCTGCTTATTTTTCTTTCTCTCTTTCTTTCCTTCCTTCCTTCCTTTCTTTTCTTCTTTCTTCATTCTTTTCTTTCTTTCTTCTTTCCTTTTTCCTTTCTTCTTTCTTTCTTTCTTTGTTATTGTTGTTATTTGTTTGTTTGTTTTGAAACAGGGTTTCTCTGTGTAACCCTGGTTGTCCTGGAACTCTCTCTATAGACCAGGCTGGCCTTGAAGAGATTTGCTTCCCACCTTTGCTTCCCGAGTGCTGGGACTAAGGGTGTGTGCCACAACACCTGGCTTCTGCTTACTTCTGGGCCTTACCCTTGACAGTCTACTCACATCCTTAGACTTCAGCTCTGCGGAACCCCCCACTGTCAGATTCTTTCTACCTTTGGACCTGCTTTTGTACTGCTCGACTCTCTGGCTGTCTGATGACCTCCTGCCTGCCTTCCAAAGCCTGGACCAAGTGTTGTTAGTGATGCCTTTGGGAGCCCTCCTCGCCTTGTACCCCTACCCCTGTCTCATCAGTTTTCTAAGCATGCTCTTGCCTGAATTCCACTTTATAACCCCGCAGTGCTGTGAAATGTTTATTTGCCTTTGTTTGCCATCTGTGAACTCTTAATTGAAGGTCACGGGCTACGCTTGCATCTGTTTCACCAGAAGCAAGTTTTTAAGGCACAATCTGGACAGAACTGTGTGAGGCCCGAAGAGGAGCCGTGACAGGGAAGAGGAGATCCAAGTTCATTCAGGCATGGCTAA